GAGGGACCTCAGCAGGGTATAATGCCAGAGAGTCAACACTCCAAAGGAACCATTTTCTCTAGGTGAATTGATCTTGGTCGTCTGGAGATCAATTGTAATAGCGGGAGATCTCCAGGTGCCTCCTGAAGGGTGGCAACCCTGGTTCTGCTGGTGTCTGTCCCACTGAACCAGCTTCGGACGGCTGCTAGTTGTGGCGTCCTTATTTTAAGTAGTGAATGTGTCGTCTTATTCTTTGCTTCCTCCCTCTTCATTCTCTTATGGTGCGTCATTCGGCATCTGAGATTATTTTAGTTTGGTGTCGTGGTGAAGTACGCGGACTCTCATCTGGGAGAACCGGGTTTGATTCCCCACTCCTCCACTTGCACTTGGCTGGATGACCTTGGGCAAGCTGTATTTCTGATAAGAGGTGTCCTTGAAAAAAGCCGTTTCTGTCAAGAGCTCTCTCAGCCCCACCGACCTCCCAGGGGGTCTGTTGTGGGGAGGGGAAGGGAAAGGAGTTTGTAAGTCGCTCTGAGATACCTTTGGGTATTGAAGGGCAGGGTATAAATCCAATCTCTTCTCCTTCTTCTAATTAGGACAGATGGACTCCCATTCTAGCTGTATCTGAAGCAATGAGCAGTGATTCACAAAAGCTCCTCCCCTTTCACAAATTGTGTTAGTCTTTTAAGCTGCTACTGGACTCTGGCTCTTTTCTACTACTACAGACAGACCCATCTTGAAAAACGACATCTCACCCAGTGGAAAGGAGTGCCTTGGGCCCAAAAATCTGTTGAGATGTGTGGAAGAATAAGGGGGAGGATCGTTGCCTCCGAAGAATGCCCCAAGTAGGCCAACTGACTGGACAGCACAATCTCCTTGCGCCATTTAGAACTGCCTTGCTGGACCAGGCCACAGTCCTCATGGCACCCCCACAGTGTTTTTAGAAAGTGGGCAGGCAATACCAGCAGATAAACGTTTTGGAAGTGAGCTCCTTCTAAGTATTAGGACTGGTTGCCCGTTAGCAGGAAGGTTTTTTTGGAAAATCTTCTTCTCAAGACTTACCTCAGAAGCTGATGCAAATCAAGTTTGTGAAGAAAAAATACTAGTCATTACTGAGGAAGTTCTGCCAAACGAAGTTAATAATATCCGGATCCTTTGTTTTTCATCTAGATGGTGCAAGGAGATTGTGCTGTCCAGTCTGTTGGCCTACTTGGGCCATCCAAGTCAAACCAGGTAAATAAGTGTTGTCAAGGAACAGCTGACTCATGGCAACCCCATAGGATTTTCAAGGCCAGAGAGGAACAGAGGTGGTTTGCCATTGCCCGTCCAGTGAGTTAGCATTCAGGTTTATGGAACATTAAATTATCATTAAATGCGTGTGTGTGTAACGCATCACCCAGTCACAGCCGAATGATGGTGACCCCAGCGAGGGGCTTCCAAGGCAAGGGAGAAGCAGAGGTGGTTTCCCATTGCCTTCCTCTGCAGAGGCTTCCTTGGCGGTCTCCCATCCAAGTACTAAACAGGGCCCGCCCTGCTCAGCTTCCGAGGTCTGATGAGATCGGGCTAGCCTGGGCGATCCAGGCTGCTTCCAAAATTATGCATGGAGGTAAAGGAAACACCAAAGGGCCATTTCTGTCAGCCCAATATTCAAGCCCCCATTTACTTGCAGGCTTCTTACTTGTCCTTTGGTTGCGAATTTCAATGATGTTTCACTCCAATACTTCCATAAGACTCGGGCATCCAGCGTTTCCCATCTTGGTTTCTCTTTTGGCCCAGCGTGAGAATCCCTCCAACAAATTCAAGCTGTATGCATGTGCGTGGTGCAGACCCGTAAAAAAAATTAGCAGAAGTCACAGGACCTACTGCTGAAAAGGGACACGCTACGCTGCTTCCACACAGAGCCAGCTTCACATTGCTGCTCTGCTGCAAACGCAGAGGCCTCTGCAGTGCCAACGAACACAGGAAGCTGCCTTAAACTGAGTCAGACCACCGACGCACTCTCCATGGTCTCAGGCAGAGGTCTTTCACGTCACCTACCGCCCAGTCCTTTTGATTGAAGATGCTGGGGATTGAACCTGGGACCTTCTGCATGTCAAGCAGAGGCTCTGCCGCTGAGCCACGGCCCCTCTTCACAGCTCTCCAGGGATTCATGCAGAGGTCTTTCCCATCACCTCCTGCCTAGTCTTTTTGACTGAAGATGCCAGAGATTGAACTTGGGTCTGTCTGCATGCCAAGCAGAGGCTCTGCCGCTGAGCCATGCCTCCCCCATGCACACAAATCTGCCATCTACCGAATCAGACCATCAGTCGAAATATTTTTGTGAACTTTTCTTCTTTGCGCATAATGGACCTTACCTTATGGGCTGTAATGCTACATGGCGATAAATACGACTGATCTACTGTTCATTGCATGTATAACAACTGTTGAGGAAGTTTGGACTTTGTTCAATGATGAATATTTATTTCGATTTTTACTTTTAGGCCGCCCTTCCCTGCAAGCAGGGCTCAGGGTGGCTTATGACAACCAAGGTGTGTACAATAAATATATAAAGTTAAACCCAACAGTAAAATGCATAAGACATATATCAACAACAACAAAAATCCAGTTCCAAGATGGCAGGAAAAAAATTCAGCTTCCACAAGCCTCCTGAGGGGGGCGGGTTGCAGAGAATGGAGGGTATGAGGGGGCCAAGTGCATCAGTGGCTCTTAGCCACAAGGTATAGATCAGAACTCTCTGTCTGGGGCCAGTGATGCTCTGTCTTCTTGGTGCTTGGAGTGGTGGAGGCAACAGTGGGAGGGCTTCTAGTGTCCTGGCCCCCCTGCTGGACCTCCTGATGGCCCCTGGTGTTTCTGGCCACTGTGTGACACAGAGTGTTGGACTGGATGGGCCCTTGGCCTGATCCAACATTGGCTTCTCTTATGCTCTTAAAATGGAATTTTCAGTCTGGGGCAAGGGATGCTCTGTCTTCTTGGTGCTTGGAGTGGTGGAGGCAACAGTGGGAGGGCTTCTAGTGTCCTGGCCCCCCTGCTGGACCTCCTGATGGCCCCTGGTGTTTCTGGCCACTGTGTGACACAGAGTGTTGGACTGGATGGGCCCTTGGCCTGATCCAACATTGGCTTCTCTTATGCTCTTAAAATGGAATTTTCAGTCTGGGGCAAGGGATGCTCTGTCTTCTTGGTGCTTGGGGGGGGGTTCAACAGTGGGAGGGCTTCTAGTGTCCTGGCCCCCCTGCTGGACCTCCTGATGGCCCCTGGTGTTTCTGGCCACTGTGTGACACAGAGTGTTGGACTGGATGGGCCCTTGGCCTGATCCAACATTGGCTTCTCTTATGTTCTTATGCTTTTTGCATGCATAATTACCGTGGTTACAGTCTTTATTACGGTGTGGTATCGTTTCCCACCTGGAGATTGGCGAGTCAAACCCAAGGGACTGTGCATCTGTTTCTCCCAAGCGAAGGGAAAATCCCAGGTGGAGAAAGGCAACTGTGAACTGGATGAGCCACAAATCTACGATGTGCTCGTCATCTTGTGAGCAGTGCGTCCTGTCATGGAGACTCTGAGTCAAGGCCGCAGATGGGGGGGAATCCCTTGATGACGCTGGAACCGCTCCGTCTGGTTAAGAGCTCTGGAAAACTCCAGGGATCCATGGATAATAACTTCTGCCCAAGGGAAGCCGCCTCACCCACACCAGGGATGCCAGTGGGAGGAAATCACCTGCTAAACTGGCCCCCGGGCGGGGCGGGGTGTGTGGGAATTTGGCACCAGCCATCTCCCCAGCAGCAGGAGAACAAACCAGCCACTAGGGGCCCAGTTTACAGACGGGCTGGGATTCCACCTAGATGTCGGGTGTCTGTTCAGTTCTGAGCACCCCAGAAGGCATTGGGTGGTGAAATGGACCTAGAACTCAGTTCCTCATCTGGGAAATGGATGCAAACGTGACACTCCCTCTAAGCTGTGGAGTCCTGTGAGCAAAAATTCTACTTTATGAGCTACTGGCATTAAAGTTGTGAGCGAGCGATGTGGCTGCTGCATAAGTTAGTTTGCTCTGGAGCCCTCCTTCCTGAGCTAAGACAAAAATGTGTGAACTGGAGGCTAAAGAACTGTGATCTACCTCCCACTAACTCAGTTTAGAGGGAATACTGAATGTGCCCTACTTCACTGGGTGTCGTTGTGGCTCTTCATTAGCATGCCTGCTGGTTCTCGTTTAAAGAGCACGGAGGGAAATCTTAAGTATTCTTTGCCCAAAGATGAAGCATTTTCCAGGCCAGCTGGGAATACGAAGCTCACCACATCTCTTTTCTCAAAAGGAAGTCAGGGGATGTAGCGGTCAGAGAGGCAGACTGGGCCTGGGGAGACCCGGGTTCAAATCCTGACCATGAAAAACAAGCCTTGAGTCCAGTCGCACCTTAAAGACCAATAAAGTCTCCAGGGCAGTGTGTCCCTCTAAGCTGAGTTAGTGTGAGCTAGCTCACAGCTTTTTAGTCTCCGGCTCACACATTTTTGCCTTCGCTCAGGAAGGATGGGGCTCCAGAGCAAACTAATTTATAGAGTAGCCAAATCTTTGGCTCACAACTCTACTACCAGTAGCTCACAAAGTAGAATTTTTGCTCACAAGACTCCACAGCTTAGAGGGAGCATTGCTCCAGGGTACACGTGGAGTCTTGCAGCTCCTCTGACAATCTGGTTTGGTCTCTAAGGTGCTTCCTCCAGCGGGAACTGATCGTCTCCGTAGTCTGGAGAGATCTCCCGGGGAGGTTGGCAACCCACAGACCAGGGTGCCCTTCGCTGGCAGGAGGGGCGGGCGGGCCCCGGTAGGCACCGCGGCGCCTTGGAAGGGTCGGGGGCTGCGCCGCAGGTGCACAGGTAGGGGGCCGAGCGCAGCTCAGGTGAGGGCGCGGCCAGGTGCGGGCCCCGGGGACGGGCCCCGGCGGCTCCTCGCGGAGCAGCCCGGAAGGGAGGCACCTGCCCGCCCGCTGGCAGGCCGTCGGGGGCGGGCCGGCTCCTCCCCGCGGAAGCTTCAGTCCGACGCCGAGCCCGGAGCTAGCAGCAGCAGCGGCCGCTGCGACGCGGAGCCAGGTGAGCCTTGGGGGGGACGAGACGGCGGTCGCCAACCAGCGCCCCTCTCCGCGTCCCGGGCAGACAGCGCCTGGCGCCCGCGGGCGCCTTTGCTGCCTGGTGGAGGAGCCCGGCCGGGTGTTGGGGGGGGGGGGTTTCGTGCCGCTGGTCTACTTCACCCCCCAGCAGCTCTCTCTCTCTTAGCCTCAAACCCCCCCCCCCCGCAAACTTTGAGTGGGGCGCGGAAGGCGGGGCGGG